AGAACCACTGTCAGCAATGTGACTGTGCTGTGTTATTCAAGCACATGGAAAGCAGGCTGATCTTGCTGAACAGGGTATGTTTCATTATTGTTGAACTTCTGTTGTGAATCTCATGTACCACAAGCTGCCTACTAGTTATTCATAGTAGGATCCCATATTGGTTCATTAAAACATGGGAAATTTAAAAAAGCGATACCACAGATAGTTTGAGAAGCACTGCTCTAAATTGCAAGTGATACTTTTTAAACTAGACAGGCGCTTTTTGAGCACATAGAGATAGGCCTCTGGAGCAGGTGAGCCTGGGGAAGGATCTAGAGTGCTGACCCTCTCTTGTCCTTGCTGTCTCTCAGGTGGTGTGCCTGTACCAGACTCTGGGTAACCCCCTCAGCAAGCTCACAACACTCAACAGCATGCACTCACACTTCATCCTGTCTGATGATGGGACCGTGGGCAAGTATGGAAATGAAATGAAGCTCAGAAGGAACCTGGAGAAGCACCTCTCTCTGCAGAAAATACACTGCCGTGAGTATCACAGGGACTCAGTCAGTGGGGCTGGTTGGAGGCCTCCTGAGGTCTTTCATGGTGTTCCCTGACCATCAGAGCTCACACCCTTAGTCCCCTCAAGCTAGTCTCCAGAATGCTCTTCGGCCACCCTGCTTCCCACGTGGGTATCTCCCCTCCTCTCTCCCTCCATCTAGCCCACCCGAATGACTGTTCGAGGATTCACTAATGTTTTTATCCTTCCGTGACCCCCCCAAAGATTTCTTGTGTCTCTCAACTGTCACCCACAAGTCTGCACCGTCTGACATCCCGCTTTCTTCCAGCTGTGGGTTCACTGTGGTCAAGGTGCTCGCTTGTCACCTGCACAGAGTAGAGAGGCCCAAATTGGCCCCTGCCTTAGAGCAGCCGGGGGATTAAGTTAACACAGTGAACCCACAGCCAGAAGAAAGCAGGATATAAGACAGTGCAGACTTGTGGGTGACAGGTGAGAGAGAGGAAGATATGTCAGGGGGATGATGGAGGGATGAAGACTTCGGTGGATCCTCAAAGAGTCATTTGGGTTGGCTAGATGGAGGGAGAGAGGAGGGAAGATACCCATGTGGGAAGCAGGGTGGCTGAAGAGCATTCAGGAGACTAGCTTGAGGGTACTTGGAGCGTGAGCTTTGATGGTCAGGGAAGATGATATTTCATGTGTGGGTGGGGTGGCCGTAGACAGGGAAGGGGTTAAGACCAGACAGGAGTTTTAGAAATAGGGACCTTGGAGCTGGGTGTGGTGACTCACACCTATAATCCCAACACTTTGGGAGGTGGAGGTGGGCAGATCATCTGAGGTCAGGAGTTCGAGACCAGCCTGGCCAACACAGTGAAACCTCATCTCTTCTAGATATCCAAAAATTAGCCAGGCATGGTGGTGCATGCCCATAATCCCAGCTACCCAGGAGGCTGAGGCAGGAGAATTGCTGGAATCTAGGAGGCGGAAGTTGTGCCGAGCCAAGATCGCAGCACTGCACTTCACCCTGGGCAACAGAGTGAGGCTCTGTTTCAAAAAAAAGAAAAAGAAAAAGAAATAGGGACCTTGGAAAGTGTCAAGTTTGTGTCATGCTCACAATGGTGCTTCAAGAGGGGCATTTTGGTAGTTTTATCTCGAGGAAAGAGAGGAGCAGGGAGGGCCAGAATCGGCATGCGCCATTGGGCAGGGAAGTTTGAATCCTTTACAGGGAACAGGAGGGCTGAATGCTGCCTGGAAAATTGGAGACTTTTGGTTCAAGGCACCAGAAAGTGGACTGCTGCCTCTTGTGCTGAATTAAATCTTCCACAAAATACTTCTTTGGGACAAAGGGCCAGGGAGTGAGAATGCCTTCAGGAGGCTCAAGTCCTCTTCAGCCTTTGAGCGTTAACTGAAAAAATCAAAGGCTGGAAGTCCATTTAGTTTTTAGCCTTGATCCCTGGAAGCAGCAGAATGTAATGAGGATAGACAGATTGAAGCTCTGTCATTTTGTGCCTGTGACCTTGGCCAATGGAGTTCACATCTGTCAAACTGTTTTCTTACTATAAAATGGAAAGCACTATCTACTTCTAATGTTGGTTGTGAGAATTAATTGAGAAGATGTATATTAGCGATGTCTAGACTCGTGTTAGGTACATGATATGTCTTTAATAAATGCCTGTTTCTTTCCTTCCTTTTTCCCTACTTTGGTGCAGGGATCCTCTCATGGACTGTGGGGTAGGAGAGGGAGGCGAGGGACTCTGGGGGTTGTGGTCGTTCACTTAACTCTTAGTGTGAATAAGGGTTCTGAGGCTTATGCAGGTCAGAAGAGGGGAGAGAGGATCAGGCATGTGGTCTTCTCCGGGGTGGGAATGACTGGGAGAAGGGAGACCAGCAGAGCAGAGGGAAGGAAGAGAGGTCAGAGAAGGACCTTGAAGAAGGATCCATATAGAGAGGGGTCCATTAGGGGCCTGAAATATTACCTGAAATGTCCTATTGCCTCTGTTCACCTTTGCCTACTACCTAAATTGCTTGGGGTTCTGTGTAGCAGTGTAATGTATGCCCCATGAGAGGCACAGGAGTCTTTGTCTTTCTTATTCCCTGCCGAGTCCTCATTTTAGTATGAATGCGACAACCCTGACCTCGCTTATAGCAGCAGATAACATTTTTCTCCTTTCAAAGACCTTGAAATATAGGATTTATCTGGAGGCTTTTGCTGACTGTGGAGTCAATTCCAGTGGACTGGTAATATTCATTATTCTAAGGAGAACCCATATAAAAATAGCAAAAGCAATTAAGCCACCTGTGCACACACACACACAGAAGAAAGAGAAGACATGCCCTCAAGAAACTCGAAATTCTTATGTATCAAAGCTAATCTTCATACCTAACATGCTCATGAGGGAGGTTTGCTACCATATTTGTATTTGTTGTTGGTATGATCAAAAAGGGATTTATTTATTTATTTATTTATTTATTTTTTGACACAGAGTCTTGTTCTGTTGCCAGGCACTGGGCTGGAGTGCAGTGGCGAAATCTTGGTTCACTGCAACCTCTGTCTTCCAGGTTCAAGCAATTCTCCTGCCTCAGCCTCCCAAGTAGCTGGGAGTACAGGTGTGCACCACCACACCCAGCTAATTCTTGTGTTTTGGTAGAGACGGAGATTCACCATGTTGGCCAGGATGGTCTCGATCTCTTGACCTCATGATCCTCCTCCCTTGGCCTCCCAAAGTGCTGGGATTACAGTTGTGAGCCACTGCGCCCAGCCGGGATTTATGTTTGATTGCATGAAAATACTTAAATATGTGGTTGATTTATTTGACTTTCTTTTGTTTTTTCTTGTAACTGAGTGTTGCTGTGTCACTCAGGCTAGAGTGCAGTGGTACAGTCTCAGCTCACTGCAACCTCCCCATCCTGAGTTTAAGCAATTATCCTGCCCCAGCCTCCTGAGTAGCTGGGACTACAGGTGCCTGCCGCCACACCTGGCTAATTTGTTTGCATTTTTAGTAGAGACTGGGTTTCACCATGCTGGCCAGGCTGCTTTGGCCTCCCAAAGTGCTGGGATTACAGGTGTGAGCCACTGTGCCCAGCCTGTGGTTGATTTATATTATTGCTTTTCAGCCATTCTTCTTCTTGTCCCTGGAAAACCCTTGTTGTTGGCAGAGAATACTTAAAAAACAAAACAAACAAAAAAACCTCACATTATAAAGTTGCTGTAGGAATCCCTGCCTTCAGCCATTTGAAATGTGGCCAATGTCAGCTCCTGTTCTGTAAGACTCTAAGGATGTAATTTCAAGGTAGGAAACATAAGCCACGATGCCTCTGTATTTTTGCATAATCCAAGTCTCAAGGGAGAAGAGTGAGTGTCCTTTCCTGGAATGCCTATTGTAGGAACCGTTTTTAAATTTCTTATTTTTTTTACTTTTATTTTTTTAAATTAAATGCCAATTTATTCAGCTCCCGGGCGAGGTTCTGTGGTCCTGGGGAGAGGGGCCAGGGAAGTTGAGCCTGACTCCTCTCAGGAGTGGGGTTTTATAGGGAATGAAGGCATTCAATTAGATTTGGAGAAACAGGATGTGGACGGGGTGAGCTGCTATTGGTAGGTAGGTGGGATTTCCGGTGAGTGGGCTAAGTGCCGAGTGCAGAGGGGATTTCCAAGGGCGGGGTTAGGTGCCGTGTGCAGAGGGGATTTCCAAGGTGGGCTAGGTGCTAAGTGCAGAGGGGATTTCCAAGGGCGGGGTTAGGTGCCGAGTGCAGAGGGGATTTCCAAGGGCAGGGTTAGGTGCCGTGTGCAGAGGGGATTTCCAAGGTGGGCTAGGTGCCGAGTGCAGAGGGGATTTCCAAGGGCGGGGTTAGGTGCCGTGTGCAGAGGGGATTTCCAAGGCGTGGCTAGGTGCCGAGTGCAGAGGGGATTTCCAAGGGCGGGGTTAGGTGCCGTGTGCGGAGGGGATTTCCAAGGCGGGCTAGGGGCCGAGTGCAGAGGGGATTTCCAAGGGCGGGGTTAGGTGCCGAGTGCAGAGGGGATTTCCAAGGGCAGGGTTAGGTGCCGTGTGCAGAGGGGATTTCCAAGGGCAGGGTTAGGTGCCGTGTGCAGAGGGGATTTCCAAGGCAGGCTAGGTGCCGAGTGCAGAGGGGATTTCCAAGGGTGGGGTTAGGTGCCGAGTGCAGAGGGGATTTCCAAGGTGGGCTAGGTGCCGAGTGCAGAGGGGATTTCCAAGGGTGGGGTTAGGTGCCGAGTGCAGAGGGGATTTCCAAGGTGGAGCTAGATGATGGGCATATTCTGATAACGTAATTTTCACGCGGGTAGGGAGATGGGTGTGTTCGAACTCCCGGGGAGGCAACCAGCCTTACATTCTGACCTTTTTGATGATATATAGGACGCCGCTTCTTTCTGGCTACTTACTGCTGAATAGGGGCAAAGTGGGGGGAAGGAGTCAGTTGGCTGGTGCCTTGATTGGGAGTCGGATATAGGAGTGAAGCATCATCTGGATAACAGCCACTCTGGAAATTTCTTTTATGCAGGCCTATAAAAACTGGGCATCTTGGCTTCAGCCATCCACAGGAGATCCACGTTGCTAGCCAGGACCGGGAGGTGGGGGTAGGGGGCTGTCGCCAGGCTAGTCCCAGGGCTCCCATTGCTGAAGAGGACATCTGTTATCAGCTGCAGGCTGGTCTCCCAGCGGACGGGCTCCCCTAGGAGGAGCACCCCTTCAATGTGGGGGAAGTCATTCCTTGGGAGGGGCGTGGTCTTCAGCCGGAGGGGCGTGGTCTTCGTCCGCCGCTCTAGGTCCACCTTGTCAAGCAGAGGGAAGGCCATCCGCAGCTCGTCCATGGTAACAACATTCTGGAATCCCAGTCCCTGGGCATTTTCCAGCACAGGCCCCTGCCGAGACACCAGCATCCGCTTCTCGTGGTACTTTGAGAAGAGCTCCATGGGGCTGTGAGAGAGGATAACTTGGTCTGCATCCACCTTGCACCCCAGCAGGGCTGACAGCTCCTGGGCTTTGCTGTGTTGTAAGATGTTCCCGGCATTTGTGACAAAAACTCCCGGGCATCCGCAGCTCCCCGTGGGAGTTCATCAGCCTTTGAAAGGCTTCCAGAGCAGCAGGGATCACTCTATGGCCCCAGACAAGCACTCCATCGATGTCCAACAGGAACTCAAAGGTGGGGGGGCTCTGAGCGGGGCCCACAGCATAGCCCCTGTGGGAGCGGCAGCCCAACAGTCCAGCAGCCCTGTGTGCTGGCCGCCAGTAGAGCCCACACGCCGCACTGAGCCTATTCTAGGAACTTTTAATTCGGAGGTCTAACATTGTATTCCCCCCTCACCCTGAAAGCTTACGGTAGAAGCAGCTCTCTGGTGGGATTTCTGAGTAAGAATTTTACATTATTTTAAACCAATTTTTATTAGTGTATTAGTAAGGTGGTTGTTGTTACTGTTTGCAGAAAATAGCCATAGATATATTTGATTTTGTAAGAATAAGTTATTACTTCACAAAAAGTGGGCTGAGCATGGTGGCTTATGCCTGTAATCCCAGCACTTTGAAAGGCCGAGGCAGATGGATCACCTGAGGCCAGGAGTTCGAGACCAGCCTGGCCAACATGGTGAAACTCCCATCTCTATTAAAAATACAAAAGATTAGTTGGGTATGATGGCACATGACTGTAATCCCAGCTACTCAGGGTGCTGAGGCAGGAGACTCACTTGAATCCAGAAGGTGGAGGTTACAGTGAGCCAAGATCATGCCACTTGAACCCAGGAGGTGGAGGTTGCAATGAGCCGAGATGGTGCCACTGCACTCTTGTCTGGGCAACAGAGTGAGACTCAATTAAAAAAAAAAAAAGATAAGTGTACCTAATAACAGAGATTGAATTATCTTCCTCTTTTATAAAAATGCCCATATTGATTTTGTTTTCAAATGGTAAAAGTGTTATATACTTTCACATTCAGGTAATGCAAAGAAAGTGGATACGAGAAGAACGGGACAGTTTTCCATAATCTCAATATCAAAACTCACCATTCTTAACCTTTTCATATGTATCCTTTCACAAATTTTCAACACACACGCGCAGACACACAAACACACACACACTTTTTGAGCAAAAACTGGGATGGTTTCATAACGCTTCTTTTGTACTGTTCCCCTGCCCCACTAAACATGGTCGTATTTCCATGTCAATGAGTATAATTTAGTACATTTTAATGGCTGAATAACATTTTATTACACAAGATACAAAAAATTCTCTTACAAAAGTGTTTTTATTCCAAAATCAATAAAATATTAATCGAAATTTTCTTCTATTACTTTTGTGCCTTATACTATTTTTGCCACTTCATTTGGCTTTTATAAGACTATCTATTTAGAGAAACCCTATGTCTATTAGTTGGTATATCATAGATACGTTTTTTAGTGATATGGAGAAAATGATGAGGTGGAAGTGTATGGAAAAGAAGTAGAATGTCAAAGCAACTAAATTGACAGAATGAAGTTTTAGGTAACCAACCCACCCCTAACATTTGAGAGTCTGACACAGAGTACACACAGAAGACCACATACTATATGTCTAGATATTTAAATGCCTTAAATCTAGCTAACTGTATAAAATATGTCTTAGCCTTTTATCTTCACACATATAGCAGGAAGGCCAGGCTTGAGTTTGGAAACCTTGGAATTTTGGAAGTGCTGAGCCAGAACATGGTGTTTCTTGGGCATCCTAGTAAGCTGGGGAGCGAGCACAGGCTTCCCTTGACTCTTGGCTTTGTAGATGCCTCATCATGAGGGCAGGGGCGTGGCCAGAGGAGGGCCAGTGTGGGCCCCTGAAAACAGGGGACCAGAGTAAACTCCTCTTTTACTCAGGGGTGACTGTAGTGTTGCTTGTCCAATTTTCTTCTTTTGAAAAATAAAGTAAAATATAGTGATTTAAATGTGGTATATCAATACATGTGTGGTACAAAAACTTAAAGCAAATAAGAAATCTGTAGAATAAATAGTCAAGGTCCCTTTTCAATATCTTCTTAAACCTTCCCCTCTCTTTTCCACTGTTCATAGTGTGATGTGTATCCTTCCAGATTTTTCTGGTGATTTATATAGCATGGTATACATACAGGTACGTGCATACATTTATATAAAATACGTATCTATGTCTATGGTTTAAAAAATACACATAGGATAATACTGTGCATATTATTCTGTAAGCTTTTTTGCTTACATCTTTTTTAAAAGAATAACTGCAGTTATTCCTTTTTGTTCTTTCTTACTTTAATAAAGTTATGTATATATGTATGTGTTGTATATATATGCTTGGGTTATATAGTCTGCAAGATAAAAAGGTAACATACAGTCATCATAAAAAATTTAAACGATAAAAAATGAAATAAATGGAAATGCAAGTTGTCATCCTACCTCATTCCTAGAAATAACCACCATTAAAAGTTTGTAGAGGCTGGGTGTGGTGGCTCGTGCCTGTAATCCCAGGACTTTGGGAGGCTGAGGCAGGAAGATCACTTGAGATCAGGAGCTTACGATTAGCCTGAGCAACACAGGGAGACCCCAACTCTACAAACAACTTAAAAAAAAAATTGTGTGTGGTTGTACATACTTGTGGTCCCATCTACTCAGGAGGCTGAGACAGGAGGATTGCTTGAGCTCAGGAAGTCAAGGCTGCAGTGAGCTGTGTTTGCACCACTGCACTCCAGCCTAGGTGACAGAGTGAGACCTTGTCTTATATGAAATAAATAAGTAAATAAGTAATAATTAAAACATTTATTGAACTGGTTAATGTTGCTCATTTTTGGAGATGAGTGATGAAAACATTGGGATCCATTATATTCTGTTTACTTTTAGATACTTTTGAAGTTTCCCGTAATAGAAAGTTATAATTTCTTAAGGAATACTTATTTTAAAAAAATTATTGAAAGCCTTTTTACCTGGTAAAAGCTTGAGGTTGCTCTCGCCATATTTATGCCACATTTTATTTGAAGTCTAAGTTTCTGGCTTGGTCTTGATCTAGGCAAACCGGGGTAAAATGAGAGAGGGACCAGTGCAAGGGATGAACATGATGGTAATTGAGACTTGTCTGGAAGTCAAAGTGGCTGACTGGTTAAGATAGGGATTCTCTAACAGTATGGTATTATTTGTGGTCTGGAATAGGCTCAAGACAAGGCGTGCCCGTGGTGGGGCTGGTGGTGGAAGGCGGTCCCAACGTCATCCTGTCAGTGTGGGAGACTGTCAAGGACAAGGACCCGGTGGTGGTGTGTGAGGGCACAGGCAGGGCAGCCGACCTCCTGGCCTTCACACACAAACACCTGGCAGATGAAGGGTGAGTTGTTGGCTCTTCCTTTTTGAAACGATAGGGACTATTTATCCTTCCATTTTAGTTCTTTCGACTGTACATTTATGTGGGCCAGATACTCTTGGAGTATAGAAGTTGAGACTGGATTTCATTTCTCAGCAACTTTGTGTTTGTTGTTCAACATCAGAATGCCCTTCAGCGATGAGAGTTGCTATTTTCTTAGCTGAAGATTGGCCTACCTTTAACAGGGAAGCTTCAGTCTTGCCTGAATTGTGGGAAGAGGTGGTTGCAGGGGGAGTGAGGGAGGTGTTGCTCGAGCAGTCGGCCATTACAGCCGTAAGGACCTTGCAGTAAGGGAGGTGGCCAGTGTTGGGCCCAGAGCACCTTCATATTCATTTGCCGTTAGGCAGAAATTGGGGAAGTCTATATCCTGACATTTTCATAGCATATGTTGTGCTTATTTCAATTCTTTCCTCTTTTCAAATAAGATAATTTTTCTCTTACCATCCCTCTATCCAGTGTAATTCTTCCAGTTTCAAAAGCATGATATTTCTGTTGTATAAATAAAAAGTACAGTGCCTAACAACTAAAATGTGGACCCCACTAATTTACTTAATAAGCAGTCGTTTGCTGCTTATGCTGTAACAGCTCTCTGGAGTGTCTTTGCTTGCAGTTGCTCTCTCTGTTCATCCCTCCTGCTTCCACTTCCACCCTCTCCCACCTCCCTCTGCTTTCACTCCTCTCCCTTTTCTAAAATCATCCTGGACTTGTGGTTATTAAACCTTTTGGGGTTTCAGATCCTTTATAGAATATAATACTTATAATTTCTGGAGATTCTCAGCCCTCTGGAAATCTACCAGCTTCAGAACTCCACTTCAGAGTATATTCTTTTCCGGATGTGGCAGATCAACCCATACTCTTTTTCTTTCCCTCCCTTCCTCCCTCCTTTCCTTCCTTCCTTCCTTAAAAATGTAAAAATAGAGACAGGGTCTTGCTATGTTGCCCAGGCTGGCCTTGAACTCCTGGCCTCAATGATCCTCCACCTGGGCCTCCCAAAGTGCTGGATTACAAGTGTGAGCCACCATGCCCAGCTCCATTCTCACTTTCAGATTCAGCCTTCTTCTTGAGCTCCTGCTTCCGTTTGTTCCCCCCTCATTTGCTTTCCTGGCAGAACTGTCCGTAGACACCTTTTCAGTCTGGGAAGCAATGGGGTGTTTTCTTCTACTGGTATTGCCAGCTCAGTCCCCTCTCTGGGTTGTGTCAAGACCACTTATTTCTCTTCCAGGATGCTGCGTCCTCAGGTAAAAGAAGAGATCATCTGCATGATTCAGAACACTTTCAACTTTAGTCTTAAGGAGTCCAAGCACCTTTTCCAAATTCTAATGGAGTGTATGGTTCACAGGGATTGTGTGAGTATGACAAGTTGATGATTCAACATTTAATTAAGAACTGCTAATTTGTAAACATTATGACATTTATTTTCACAATTAAAAAAAATATGATGGACACAGGAAGGGTAACAACACACAGGGACCTGTTGGGGGGAGTGGGGAGGGAGAGAATCAGGAAAAATAGCTAATGCATGCAGGGCTTAATACCTAGGTGATGGGTTGATAGGTGCAGCAAACCACCATGACATATGTTTACCTGTGTAACAAACTTGCACATCCTACACATGTACCCCAGAACTTAAAATAAAATTTTAAGAAAATTAAAAGTAATTAAAAATAAAAAATGGATTTTTAAAATTTTGATTTGGGGTGTATCTAGCTCTACAGAATTTGATTTTTAGTTGAGTAAACTTGGCTTCTTACTGTCACTGCTGTCCTCACCCTTCATGCTGCAAATTCAAGACTACAGAATAAAAGTACTTAGTATAACAGTGTTCCAGAAAAGGTATAAAATTGAATGAAAATTACACAGAACTATTTTTAAAGGGTAAGGGAACAGTTAAAAAAAAAAAAAAGGTTTTAAAGAAGAATGTTTTCCTCAATTCATTAGCTCCAGTCTGAATTTTGTGGGTGCTCTTTGAAAGCATTTATTTGGTAGTTCCCCAAATGTATGGCTGTTTTTCACTATTGTAGATTACCATATTTGATGCTGACTCTGAAGAGCAGCAAGACCTTGACTTAGCAGTCCTCACAGCTTTGCTGAAGGGTGAGTATCTGGATGGGGTTGCAGTTGTTCCTCACTTCTACTTCTCATGTTCCACAGTACTTTGTGCTTCTGGTGCAGATGTTTTGAAAATAATATATGATTGTTCCTTTCTTTTATCCTAGGCACAAATTTATCAGCATCAGAGCAACTAAATCTGGCAGTGGCTTGGGACAGAGTTGACATTGCCAAGAAACATATCCTAATTTATGGACAACACTGGAAGGTATAGTGAAAATGAGATATTTGGAAAAATATTTTGTGTGATGATCTGTTAGGAAGGGGCAAAAGAAAATGAGAGGGGATACAGATTGCTTTGGTAAAAGTGTGGGGTAGCATCTCTGTAGCTGGGATAGCTAAGACACTTCTCCCATCAACTTTGCCTTCCTGGAAACATTTTTTTCTTTTTTTTCTTCTGGCTCTGCAATCTAACGGAAGCTGAAAAGGGACGTTGAGGGAAAGACAGAATGGCAGCTTTTGTATTTTATTTTATCTATGTTATTTTATTTTTAGATACCAGATCTCACTCTGTCTTCCAGAATGGTGTGCAATGGTGAGATCATAGCTCACTGTAACTAACTCCTAAGGTCAGGTCATCCCTCCACCTCAGCCTCCTGAATAGCTGGGATCGCATGTGCACACTACCATGCCCAACTAATTTCTCTGGAAAATGGTATTTTATTTTAGAGATAACGACTTGCTATATTGCCCAGGCTGATCTTGAACTCCTGGCTTCAAATGATCCTGCTACCTTGGTCTCCCAAAGTGCTGGGATTACAGGCGTGAGCCACTGTGCCCAGCATACGATTTTTAATTTATTTTTAGGTAGAGTTTTATCTCGTTATTTAAAACTCAAAGCTTACTTTTGCTTTAAAAGATAGTAAGTGCTCACATTAGAAATTAGTGAAAACATAAAAGAGAAGAAAGATTACCCAGATGCTGATGATAATCACTATTAACATTTCATTTAAAAAATTACAGTTGTGGCTATAATACAGGTGTATTATTTTTGGGTCAAGCTAATGCATGCACATTGTTTAAAATATCAAATGATATTAAAAGGCAATTTAAAAAGATGGTAGTTCTCTGCCATGCTAATTTCACAAGAGCTAGTATTTAAGACGTTTTTGATTGTTCTAACACTTATAATCTCCATATTTCTTTCTTTCTTTTCTTTTCTTTCTTTTTTTTTTTAAACTGAGTCTCGCTCTGTCACCCAGGCTGGAGTGCAGTGGCACCATCTCAGCTCACTGCAACCTCCACCTGCAGGTTTCAAGTGATTCTCCTGCCTTGGCCTCCCAAGTAGCTGGGACTACAGGCACCCACCACCACGCCCAGCTAATATTTGTGTTTTTAGTACAGACAGTGTCTCACCATATTGGCCAGGCTGATCTCGAACTCCTGACCTTGTGATCCACCCTCCTTGGCCTCCCGAAGTGCTTTGATTACAGGCATGAGCCACCACACCCAGCAAATTTCCATACTTCTAAATAATGTCATATTGCTGTATTTTGGTTCATGAGTTTTGGAAGTTTTCCAGCACTTCTGTCTTGTGGGCCTTATGGCTGCAATGTGGACCGGTTGCCTTCTCCTCCTGGTGTGCCGCTGTCATCCCGGATGCGGATGCGCACTCATCATCTGTGAACTCCCTTGCCTCTTTCCTGAGTTAGACGGCATGTCTTCTATGTCCCCATCTTCCTCTTCTTCATTTACTCATTTATTTTGATGGTGTACATCTTTCAGTAAGTTCCTGAAGAAGGGAATATGAGAGATAGATATTTTGAGGACTTACATGTTTGGCTATATTTTAATTCATGATTGAAACTACAGGAATTTGAACGCCTAGCTTCCAGCACCCAGGATCACTATTGATAAGTAAATGCTTTTTTTGTTTTCAGATTCTTGGTCACCATTTTTTTTTCCTCTCTGAAAGTTAAAAAAAAATCTTTCTTTTCCAATGTTATGATGTGTGTTGTGGTGAGTCTGTGTGTCCATTTTGTTGGGCACATGATTTCAACTTGGCAATCATATGTTTTCATTGTGTTCCATTCCATTCCATTCCACAACACTGCCCTTTGTTCTGTTTGTAATTCCTACTATTTGAGTATTGGACCTTATGGACTGCTCCTCTACTATCCTTATCTTTTTCCTCCCATGTTCCCTATCTTTTCTTTTGTAGCTTTGCTTGACTTTATTTTTTAAATTTTAATTAATTAAATTTCGAGATAGGGTCTTACTCTGTCACCCAGGCTGGAATGCAGTGGCGTGATCTTGGCTTAAGGCAACTGCTGCCTCCCACGCACAAGCAGTCTTCCCACTTCAGCCTCATGAATAGCTGGGACCACAGGCATGTGCCACGACACCAGGCCAATTTTTGTATTTTTAGAAGAGGGTTTGCCTCATTGGCCAGGCTGGTCTCGATCTCCTGGACTCAAACAATCCACTTGCCTCAGTCTCCCAAAGTGCTGGGATTACAGGCTGAGCCAGTACAGCTGGCCTCAACTTTTAATT